TCCCGGGCACGCACCGACGCACCGCTTCTCCGGCCATGCTGAGGCCGCGTCCCACATACAGCAACTAGAAGGATGTGCAACTACGACATACAACTATCTACTGGGGCTTTGGGGGGAAAATAAATAAATAAATAAATAAAATCTTTAAAAAAAAGAAACGGCTTTACACATGAAAACCCAGAAGTCATAAAGAACTATGTTAAACCCAACTTGATAAATATTAGCAATTCTATATGGCAAAAAAAAACCAACATAACGTTTATAACCAACAAAAGGTTCATATCCAGAATATATAAAGAACTCCTACAAATTAATAAAACATAAAGATACAATCCAATAGAAAAATATATACAAGACTTAAGCAGGAACTTCACAAAATAGTATATCCAAATGAGCAACAACAACAACAAATATATGAAAAGGTTTTCAACTTCATTAGCCATCAGGGAAATGCAAATAAAAGCCACAATTAAATACTATTACGTACTCACCAGAAAAGGTAAAGTTAATAAGACTGACAATACCAAGTGTTGACAAAGAATATGGAGCAAGCAAAATCTCCTATACAACTGAGGAGAGGTTAAACTAATACCACTATTTGGAAGACTGTATGGCAGTAATCCACCAAAGTAGAACATACCCACAACCCTTTGATCCATAATTCTACTCTGAGGTCTATCACAACAGAAATGTGTCGAGAAGGACCAGGAAATTCATAGCAGCCCTGTTCAGAATAGACCACCACAGGAAACAACATAAATGTCTATCAACAGCGGCACGGATAAATAAAATAAGCTGTAGTATGTTTATTCAGTGGAATACTATGCAAACAGCAAAAGTGACCAAACTCCTGCTGTATGCAACAACGTGAATGAATCTCACAAACGTAAGACTGAACGAGAGAAACACTGAACTAAACATGCACATTGCCTGACAAAGACAGAAAGAGTGCTACAAGTCAGGAGAGTGGTTACTCTTGGGAGGAGAGAGTGTAGACACAGGGAGAAGGAATGAAGGGGGCTCCCGGGGTGCTGGGAGGTGTACACATAGGAGGTGTACACTTTTTGGTAGGTACGTTATGCTTATGCTTCAATAAAAATTTCTGGACACTGTAGAAAATGAAGCTGTTTATCAGATTTTGATGTGTTTATCTTAAAAGATTTTTTTCTCAATGTCCTCATGTTCCACCCTGAGGAAAGATCATTACACTTAAAAAATGGTTGGAAACATTGATCCGTAACCACAGCTTACCCAGTTTACTCTGTTCTTTCTCCTTCCCTTCTAGCGCGTCAGTGAGCCTTTGGATCTCTTCACGGGCCATTTCTAACCTCTGTGCTACCTGTTCCACATCTCTCTCTAGGCAGTTCTGTGATACCTCATCTTTTTCCAGGTCTTCATTATGGGACTGAAATAAAACTATTATTAGTAGTACAACAAAATGTAAATATACTCTTATGACATTGTGCTATTTTCTATACAAGTTTGAAAGCCAATAAAGAAAAGCAGCAAAAGACTATTTCACTTATGTGCAATGCTTTTATTAGGTTGAACCATATAAAATTGGTGATATTTGATTGTTTGTGACCTATGAACATGCAATTTCATATGGTTCAACTTAATATATGAGAGATTACACAAATGATTATAAAAAAATAGAAATTTAATCATAAAAATTAGTATTATCTGGGAAAAAAGAGAGAAAATACTCCTCACTTATATGGTACGTTAAAAACAGTTTATAAAATGCTTTCACATAAAGTATTTCATTTAATTTCAAGGCATGCACACACTTAACAAGGCTCAAATCATGTTTAGATCCTTTTCTACAATTATTTTCAAGGCATTTTAAAAGCTAACTAAGAAATTCAGACTCAGTTATATTTTGCTTTTGAGCCCCAAAATATGTACGAATTTTATATAAATATAATCATTATACAAAATTTTCCAAAGAAAACAACCAAAATACCATCTGCATAACAAAATCACTTTTAGCATATTGGTATATTTCCCCGCAGTATTTTTATTCACATACATTTTTACATAGTCATAATCCCAATCTACATGCAAGTTTCTGTCTGGCTTTTTCATTTAACATTATATGAGGAACGTTTTTCCACATAGCAGTACAGATTCTATAATGATTTTTTGTGTGTGTGAGGAAGATCAACCCTGAGCTAACATCCATCCCAATTCTCCTCTTTTTGCTGAGGAAGACTGGCCCCGGGCTAGTATCCGTGCCCATCTTCCTCCACTTTACCTGGGATGCCACTACAGCATGGCCTGACAAGCCGTGCGTTGCTGTGCACCCGGGATCCAAACCCGGGCCCCCAGCAGCGGAGCCCACGCAGTCAACCACCACGCCATGGGGCCGGCCCCAATGATGATAATTTTTAAAGGCCAAATAAGATTTCAGAGTGGGTACAACATAATTTACATGATCATTTAAGTATTTTGGTAGTTTCTAATTTTTGCTATTGAAAATAATACTATGATATATAGTTTCATCTATATGTATTTATCTTGGGTCACTTCCCATGGTTAAATTCCCAATATATACTTTATTCACTGGATTTAGCTCTTAATAACATTTCCCCAGATCAAAAGATTAAATCCCATGAAGAGAATTGATTATATTTAAAATAATGTGGTATACATTCTAAAGGACTCCCCAGAAAGGAGCTCCAAACATACTAAGGAAGAAGTATGTGCTGACCCAAGGGGGTTTCTCAAAGGACAGAACACACACTGACTGTTTACATTTTGATACAGTCAATAAAAATCAGCTATTGTGTTAAATAGATGATTGATTTTTTTTCTTCTTCCCCAATATTTGTGATGCGTTTATAATATTTTATGCACAATTTGATAACTTTTATAGCATAGATCTATACAATTTAATTAATTAATTTATTTATTTAGTGTGTGTGTGTGTGTGTGTGTGTGTGTGTGAGGAAGATCAGTCCTGAGCTAACATCCTTGCCAATCCTCGTCTTTTTGCTGAGGAAGACCAGCCCTGGGCTAACATCCGTGCCCATCTTCCTCCACTTTATGTGGGATGCCCCTACAGCATGGCCTGACAAGCGGTGCGTTGGTGCACACTCAGGATCCGAACCCGGGCCACCAGCAGCGGAGCCCGCGCAGTTAACCACTACACCAACGCCACAGGGCCGGCCCTATATATTTTAATATATTCAAACAAAATACTTCCAAGGTAAAAGCTAACTTGTAATTAGCTACTATTATTAAGTAAAGAATTATAATTGTTTTTACCTCACTCAGATTTTTTTTAGACTGATGCACAGGTTCTTGATGTTTCTGATGTTCTCTTTGCAGTGGCTGGTGGATTTGTTCAAATTTCCCCTAAATAAATATCAAGAGATAAATGAAACTTACATCAATTGGTCTTCATGAATAAAAATGTCATTTAAATTAAAAAAAATAACCAGCTAGAAAAAGAGGGAGCATAGTCCAATCCCCTTTATGAACCTAGACCATGCATTCCCAATGAGACAAGATCGCCCCCAAGGGCATGAAAATTGGTTCCTGCGGGGGGAAATGACTCTTTTTATGTACAAAGTGCAGCTTTGCCTACAATACATAAATAGAAATACATTATATCGGTAGTATTAAAATTTCATGGGGGAGCGATTAATAAATATCTGAAAAATCTCGTTATGGAGGCAATAACGAAAAAACGGTTGGCTAACACTAGCTAGACAAACCTTGATGTTAAAACTGACAAAGATAATACAATAAAGAAAAATCACAGTGCAATTTCACAAACATAGATGCAAAAATCTTAAAGTTTTATGAAACCTAACCTAGTAGTACTTAGAAAGGATAACATATGAACAAGTTGGATTTATCCTAGGAATGCAAGATAGATTTAACACTAAAAAATTAGGGCCGGACCCGTGGCTTAGCGGTTAAGTGCGTGCGCTCCGCCACTGGCAGCCCGGGTTCAGATCCCAGGCGCGCACCGACTAACCGCTTCTCCGGCCATGCTGAGGCCGTGTCCCACATACAGCAACTAGAAGGATGTGCAACTATGACACAACTATCTACTGGAGCTTTGGGGGAAAAAAAGGAGGAGGATTGGCAATAGATGTTAGCTCAGGGCCAGTCTTCCTCAGCAAAAAAAAAAGGAGGATTAACACGGATGTTAGCTCAGGGCTGATCTTCCTCACAAAAAGAAAAAAAAAACTGTACTTTTAAAGTTTTATCATTTTTCCACAAATATGTTATTATATTCCATAATAAAATTTTTTAAAATCTTTGATTATTCTTGGCGTTAAATGTCATCCCTTCATCCTCTGCCATCCAACAATAAAGTGGTTAAATAAATTTTGATACATCCATTCAAAAGAATATATAAGTTGTCAAAAAGACTACGGCAAGTCTATATGTACTATATAGAAAGTGAAAACAGTATGCATAATGGAATATAATTTGTATTTTAAATGACAGAAATTTTCGGGAAGGATAAATAAAAAATTATTGGCAGTGGTAGCCTAGGAGCATGGACCTGAGGATTTGGGGTGAGAAAATAACTCATTTTTCATTCAAGTTTATACTGCTTGAATCTTTTTTTACTATGTGCCTATATTAAGTTAGAAAACCAACAAAACAAAAACAAATATTAAGTAAAATGTAATTAGTATATAGATCAGGACTTTCAAAATTCTTTGGGCTTCCAAGTCATCATATGCGACCCCATTTTGGTTGGAATGGCCCTCTCAACTAAATGCACAGGTTAAGTCAACATTAGTCTATACAAAATATAACTAGGGAGGCAATGAAATTTTTACACGTTACATTTCATAGTAACAAGATCATCTTTGGAAAATCTTTTTTAAAAGCTTTTTAAAGGTATAATTGACATACAATAACCTGCACATATTTACGGTGTACAATTTTTTTGTTAAATAAATATCCATGAAACCAACACCACAGGGGCCGGCTCCGTGGCTTAGCGGTTAAGTGTGCACGCTCCGCTACTGGCGGCCCGGGTTCAGATCCCGGGCTCGGATCCCGGGCTCGCACCGACGCACCGCTTCTCCGGCCATGCTGAGGCCGCGTCCCACATACAGCAACTAGAAGGATGTGCAACTATGACATACAACTATCTACTGGGGCTTTGGGGGGCAAAAAAAAAGGAGGAGGATTGGCAATAGATGTTAGCTCAGAGCCGGTCTTCCTCAGCAAAAAGAGGAGGATTAGCATGGATGTTAGCTCAGGGCTGATCTTCCTCACACACACAAAAAAAGAAACCAACACCACAATCAAGCTGATGAAAATATCCACCACCCCCAAAGTTTCCTTTGCTTCCTTGTAATCCATTCCTCCCCCATCACTGTCCCCAGGCAACCAGTGATCTGTTGTTTCTATTACTATATATTAGTTTGCAGTTTCTACTACTTTACGTAAATGAAATCATAGACTACGTACTCTTTCTTGTCTGGCTTATTTCACTCAGATAATTATTTTGAGATTTATCCATTTTATTGTATGTTTATTCTTTTTTATTACTAAGTAATATTCCATTGTATGGATCTATACCTTCACCTGTTGATGAACATTTCAGTTGATTCTAGTTTGGGGCAATTACAATTAAAGTTGCTATTACATGTATAAATGTTGATGTGGGCACATGCTTCTATATCTCCTGGGTATATTCCTAGGAATGGAATGGCAGGGTTGTACGACATGTGTATCTTTAACTTTTTAAGAAAATGCCAATCTAGTTTCCAAAGTGGTTGGATCATGTTATATTCCTATCAGTAGAATACGAGAATTCCAGTTGCTTCTCATTCTCACCAACACCTGATATGGTTAAGTCTTTTTTAATTTTAGCCATTCTAGTACATATACTGTGGTATCTCATTGTGATTTTTAATTTGTGTTTTCCTAATGATAAGTGAAGTTAAGTATCTTTTCATGTATTTATTTGCCATTTGTTTATCTTCTTTGGTACAGTGTCTAAGTCTTTTATCCATTTTTTAATTGGGTTGTATATGTTATTTAGTTATAAAAGTTATTTATATATTTAGATACAAAGCTTTTGCTGGATATATATATTTTTTAAATATTGTCTCCCAGTCTGTGGCTTGCTCTTTCATTTTTGTAACAGTGTCTTTTTTGTGTGTGTGAGGAAGATTAGCCCTGAGCTAACATCTGATGCCAATCCTCCTCTTTTTGCTGAGGAAGAACGGCCCTGGGCTAACATCCGTGCCCATCTTCCTCTACTTTATCTATGGGACACCACCACAGCATGGCTTGACAAGCGGTGCGTCAGTGCATGCCCAAGATCTGAACCAACGAACCCCGGGCCGCCGAAGCGGAGCACGCGCACTTAACCACTACGCCACTGGGCCGGCCCCTGTAACCGTGTCTTTTGAAGATCAAATGTTCTGAATTTTTATGAAGTTCAATTTATTTTTTTCTTTTATACTTCATGCTTTCCCTGTCTTATGAAAATCTTGCCAAATCCAAGCTCACTAAGATTTTCTTCCGTGAATTTTATCTCCTAAATGATCTATGAACCATTTTTCCTTCATGAATTTTATCTCCTACATGATCTATGAACCATTTTGAGTTAATTTTTGTATATGGTGTTAGATAAGTGTATTGTAAGGCCTAAAATTTCATGTGCTGCCTTAACATCCTTGAGCCTCACAGTGCACCAAAGGCCTAATCATGAATTCCTCTGCCCTTGCCAGATATGCCTCCATCCAGTGGGAAAGATTCCCCACCCAGCTAGTTCCCATATCAGCCAGACCAGCTATACTCCACTCAGTCCTCAGTCTAATGGGTTTCACTTCCCTGCCAGCACATGGAATTTCTCAAACAAGCCATTTATATCCACCCATGGGAACGAGGGGGCACCTCACCCTATTGTTACTACAAGGTCCGCCTCCCACAGCCCCTATGAGTTCACTTCTATTCCTGAATACAACCCCCTGTGGCCCTGCACGGCAGGTGGTGTCCTCCTCCCCTGGGCTGTCAGTATATGTGGCTAATAAACTAACAATCTTATCTGTCCAATGTGGGGTGTCATGTGTTTGGCCATCTCTTAGTATTTAGGGTAAGGAATCTTTCCTTCATCAACAGGAAAGGGAACTTCAACAGAGCTGAGGGTTCTTTTTTTTTTGCATATGTCTATCCAATTGTTCCAGCATAATTTGTTGAAAAGATTATCTTTTTGCCACTGAATTACCTTGATGCCTTTGTTGAAAATCAATTGACCATATAGGTGTGGGCCTATTTCTGGATTCTTTATTTTGTTCCATTGATCTGCATATCTATCTTTATGCCAATACTACACTTTCTTGATTAGTGCAGCTTTATGCTAAGTCTTAAAAGCAGGGAGTGTGTGTCTTCCAACTTTGTTTTTCTTTTTTAAAGTTGTTTTGGCTATTCTAGGTCCTTTGCATTTCCATATCAATTTTAGACTCAGCTTGTCAATTTCTACAAAAAAAGTGACTCTGCTAATTACTTAATGCTCAGGTAAATTACAACACTAGCTTAAAATATAACTGGGATGCTACAGAAATTTTATGAGTTACATTTTATAATAAAAAACCTTTAGAGTATCTGTTTTAATTCTTTCTATTAGTGGCAAAACTATGACCTAACAGTGACTGGGTAGATAGCCTTAGGGTCATCCAAGACTTCACCCCCACCATGTCCAGTTTGTTTTATAGATTCCATCTCCTTCATAACTCCTTAGTTCACCTTCTCTTCTCTATTTACACTCTGAGCCTTGTTTTTGGTTCTCATTCTTTAATTAATTACTATATAATCCCCTGAAATCCTTGCTTCCAGTCTGGCCCCTATCCAATCCATCCTTCCACTGTGGCCAGAGTGATCTTTCTAAAACACAATCAGATCATGTTACTCTCCTCTTAAAATCATTTAGTGACTCTCCAGACCTTCTACATCAAAGTCAATCATTTGTACACTCAAAATACTTTTATGCCTCTAGTATGGTCCAGGAACATTGCTGGGTGCTGAGTCCAAACTTGTTAGCTTAGCATAGGAGTCTCACCGTGACGTGGTTCCTGAAAATATCTCCAGCCACATTTCTCAGCATTCACTCACACAAACCGCTATGTATTATACACTGTTTCCTCTGCCAGGAATGCCTTTCCCAGCTTCTTCATCCTGCAAACACCTCCTCAGCTTTCAAACTACTACTCAACATCACCTCCTCTGTAAGTCTTTTCTACCCATCCTGACTTAGCCCCTCTCCTGAGCTTTCCTAGTCTTCTGTGCCTTCCTTTATCATAGAACTTTCCACACTGAACTATAACCACTGATTTATTCCTTTTCTTCGTTAGCTTGTAAGTTCCTTGCAAGTCCAGATCATGTCTAATTTGACTTTGCTTCTACATCCACTAGCACAAAGCCTGGTACTCAATAAATAATAATAATAATGTAGGGCCGGCCCTGTGGCTTGGCGGTTAAGTGCGAGCGCTCCGCTGCTAGCGGCCCGGGTTCGGATCCCGGGCGCACACTGCTTCTCCGGCCACGCTGAGGCCGCGTCCCACATACAGCAACTAGAAGGATGTGCAGCTATGACACACAACTATCTACTGGGGCTTTGGGGGGAAAAAACAAATAAATAAAATCTTTATAAAAAAAATAATGCCAATTAATGTGTGAGGTACTATTCTAGAGCTTCTATACATTGTTATTTCATTTTCTTTTTTATTTTATTTTTTTTTATTTATTTTTTTCCCCCAAAGCCCCAGTAGATAGTTGTATGTCATAGCTGCACATCCTTCTAGTTGCTGCATGTGGGACACGGCCTCAGCATGGCCAGAGAAGCAGTGCGTTGGTGCGCGCTGGGGATCCCAACCCGGGCCGCCAGCAGCGGAGCGCATGCACCTAACCGGCTAAGCCAAGGGGCAGCCCAAGTTATTTCATTTTCATGATCATCTTGTGGAGTAGCTAAGTTGATCCCAGATTTTACAGATGAGAAGACCAAGGCTCACAAAAGTTAACTACCTTGCTCAAGGACATGCTGCTGACAAGTGGCAGAGGAAGTCCACCCAAACCCAAAGCCTGTGTTCTTAAGTACTATTAAACTGGCCTCCTGATATTTTAATGAATGAATGATGAAATGAACAAATGCATTTAAAAACTGGCCTGTCTCATTCAATTATCTAGTTAATTTTGGAATACCTGGGGAAATTCTTTCTGTAGGTTACTGCTCATACATCTTTGTGACTCTGGCTTGGGGTCCCCAAGTTCCAGTTTCCTCAAGAGTGCACTTCTTTCCACGAGTAAGTATGCAATCTGTTCACTGGGGCTGCTTAGAGCTATATCAGACAAGCCTTCTCGATACAACATTGCTTCAATCTCCTTTATTTGCACTTCTATTAGGAAGAAATAATAGAAACAAAACTGTTAAAAGAAATGCAGGCAAATAACTATTCTATAAGATGTTAAATGAGTTCTTAATTAGATAACAAATTAATTAAAAAAAAGTAAGCTAGGGGTTGGCCTGGTGATGTAGTGGTTATGTTTGCACGCTCTGCTTCAGCGGCCTGGGGATTACAGGTTTGGACACCAGGCATGGACCTATGCACGACTAATCAAGCCATGCTGTGGCGGTGTCCCATATATAAAGTAGAGGAAGATGGGCACGGATGTTAGCTCAGGGCCAATCTTCCTCACAAGAAAAAAAAAAGCTATACCACTCTTTTCCCCATCTCTCCAGGGTGTTTGCAAACTTTCAAAATTATAGCCAAAAAAGTAGTGGAAAAAGGGTTGCAAAAGCAGTAGATACTCTTACTACTTTCATAAGTTTAAAATTTGCTCTTGAATAACTTTAAAATTAATTGTTGTTTTATTAAGTGCTTCCCATGTAGCAGGTATTGTACTAAGCATTTGAGATACATTTATCTCATTTAATCCTTACAACTCCTCAATGAGGTAGGAACCATGATTATCCTTTTTATGAGATGAGGACTCAGGCACCAAGAAGCCAAATAACTTATCCAAGGTCATTCAACTAATGCTGCCAAAGTTCTTGGTGATTTCAATATTCAGGTAGATGATAATTCTAATGCCCTGGCTTCTGAGTCCTTTCACCAGCTAACTTCTGAAGATCTAGCCCTTTACCCCATCTCAGCCACCTACTCCACAGTAATTCCCTAGACTTTGTCATTAGCAATAACTGTATCCTCTCCCCAGTCTCAATTTCAAGCATCCTATTCTCCAATCGTCCCTTGCTATGTAGTGGCTCAATTTCAACAAGCTTTCGACCATATTCGAAACTATGATCTACTGACTTGAAACACTTTTCACTGTTTCTCACCCCACTCCTGTTCTCATTTATTTTCTTACCCAGCTTGGATTCTATCATCCATCATTATAATTGCTCCCTCAAAAACCTTCACTACTCCCTTGTCTCTCTTTTCTTCCATTATACTTGGTTGGCAAAACGCCACCCTGTTTAAATCCAACTCTTCACCTCTTCTCCACCTCATTCCAGAAGCTGAATGTGGCTGGAGAAAACTGCACAGCCAGTACTGACTGAAGTGAGCCATTACTGCCGCCCAGCAATCCCTCTACATTTCCCTGGTCACCTCTCTCTCATTTTCTAGAGGTCTAGATCATTACTTCATTCCTCTCTCTCCTCAAATCTCCAACATCTCTTTTCCCCACCCTCACTCAGAGCTCAATATCCTGCTTCTTATTTCACTGAGATAAGAGAAGCACTCTGAAGACAACTCTCACAAGTTCCCCTTAACAAACATGCCAACTCCCACATACTCTTTCCTCTTGTGAGATTTAACAAACTATCCTTGCTCCACGGATAGCCCCTCCCCTCATGCACTGGATCCTGTTCCCTCTTATCTCAAAGACAACACTCTTGCAGTTGACTCCTCTATCACCTCAACAAGCTTTCTTCCTAACTAAGCATTATACTCATCTTAGAGACATGCTATAATATCTCCCATCAAATACAATGACGATGAAAACAACAACAAAATCTTCTTTCAACCTCATGTCCCCCTCTAGCTTCTGCATCATCTCTTCATTTCCCTCTACAGCACAACTTCAAGAAAGGGTCAACCACTGCCACGCACCCTCTTCCTCTCCTACGACTCTTTCCTGAATTCACTCCCATCAGGCTTTCTTATCCACCACCCCACAGAAACAGCTTTCATCAAAGTCACTAATGACCTCCATGTGACCAAATCCAATGGTCAATTACGTGTCGTCATTCCACATAGCTTGTCAGTGGTATCCGACCTAGTTGTTTACATCCTTTTCTTTTTTTTTTCTTTTTTGTGAGGAAGATCAGCCCTGTGCTAACAGCTGCCAATCCTCCTCTTTTTTAGCACAGGAAGACTGGCCCTGGGCTAACATCCGTGTCCATCTTTCTCCACTTTATATGGGACACTGTCACAGCATGGCTTGCAGAGTGGTGCGTCGGTGTGCGCCCGGGATCCGAACTGGTGAACCCCGGGCTGCTGCAGCAGGGCGCGCACTTAACCACTTGCGCCACCAGGCCACCCCCTAGTTGTTTACATCCCTTTCTTAAAACATTTCCCTCATTTCTCTTCTGGGACACCACACTCTGCTGTTTTTCCTCCTACCTCATATGCCACTCCTCACATTTCTTTGCTAATTTCTCACCTTTCCAACCTTTAGACACTAGAATGACTCAGCCCTGAATCTTCTTTTCACCCCTGTTATCTCCTACAGTCTCCTATGTATTAACTCTAATCTGATGACTCCCAAATTTACATCTTGACTGCTGCATTCCAGATACATACACAATTGCCTACCTGACATTTCCACTTGGATGTCTAATAGATACCTCAAAATTTACATGTCCAAAAGCAAACTCTTCACTGTCTCCCCCAAATGGGGCCTCCCACAGTTTTCCCCACCTGAGCAGTCAGGAACTCCACTATTCTGACTGCTCAGGCCAAGAAGCTTTGGGTCACCAGTGACTTCTTTGCTTTTCTCCCACCCAACCTTAAATCCATTATCGAATCACGTTAGCTCTACTTTCAAAAGATATCCTTTAATTATTTAAGCATTTCTGATGTGATTGACATATGTATTGCTAAAAAAAAACAAATTGTATTTTGCAAAATTGCTCACTAAAAATAATAGAGCTTAGGGGCCACCCCAGGAGCATCAGCCGGGGGGTATAGTGGTTAAGTTCTCGAGCTCCGTTTCGGCAGCCCAGGGTTTGCAGGCTCAGATCCCGGGCATGGACCATCAAGCCATGCTGTGGCAGGCGTCCCACATATAAAAAAGTAGAGGAAGATGGGCGTGGATGTTAGCCCAGGGCAAATCTTCCTCAGCAAAAAAAGAGGTTTGGCAACAGACGTTAGCTCAGGGCTAATCTTCCTCACCAAAAAAAAAAAAAAAAGAGAGCTTACTGAAGATACAGATTGGTATAGATCACTCAAAACCTTTGTCATTGTGTAGAGTGCTAGAAAACATATTGCCAATCCTAATAATTCTACTGGTACATTTAAAGAGATATGTCAAATTCCTAAAAAATAAAAGAACACTATAGTAAATATAGGACTTTTAAAAAAAAAAATCAAGTTTGCTATACAGGTGAGCTAAAGTAGGAGTCTACAGAGTTATGGAAACAAAGGCAAAATGCACAAAGATTAGGGATATCTTTGCAATAAGCACTTCTGAGGCAAAATATGTGGCTAAACTGAGCCCAGAAGAAGAATGTGGGATGAATGGGCTTCATGTACAAACTCTAAGGCTTGCTGGTAGCCCAAATCATTAACATGCTGCAAACACTGTATATGAACTTCCACATTATAATGACATCATTCCCCTATTTACCAATCCTTTGTGAACTAATTTATGTTGGCAGCAAGACATACAGTATCTTCTGCAGTGTGGCAGATTAGAGCTCTGAACCACTCTCCTGCTGAGAGTAACTAAAAATGCTGGAAAAAATTAGGGAAAACTCTTAAAATGCAACCCCTATATGAACAAAAATAGAACGCAAACTTTTAAACCAGTAGAAGAAAACTCAATATATCCAATGGAAAACAAGGAGGAAAAAAAAAAAAGAAACCAGAGCGTAGAAATATGTGAAACATGTCCTACGATTAACTCAATCTTCTCTGCACCTGAGATTCAAAACAAAGAAAAACACTTTTCCATCAACAGACCCTCATAAAAGGAAGTTCTAAAAGGAAAATGATCCCAAACGGAATATCTAAGATGCAAGGAAAAATTCTGAGCAAAGGAAATCAGAAATGTGTGGTAAATATAGATAATGATTGACCACATATAATAATATCTAATTTGTGGAGCTAAACGAAGTAGAATATTGTAAAGGGGTCCTATCTGTAACTTCCTTTACAGCTTTCCTGAGTCCTTAACATGCTAGGTACTTTACAAGGCAGGTGCTGTGGGGAACCCACAAACCACCAAGACCAGGACACGATCTCTGCCGCCAGCTGACACGGGGAATTATGACACGGTGTGGGAAGTGCTGTAACAGACATTGAAGGAAGTAACCATTCCACACTCTTTCACACGTTTCAGAATATTTCAGAATATATACTTTAAAAAGACAAAAAGTACATCTAAAACACTACAAGCACTATCTCAGGGTGGAGGATATATAGTAATTTTTTCCCTTCCTCCTACTTTAATACATTTCCCAAATTTTCTATAATTGTCACATATTAATTTTTAGAATTAGAAAAAAATTAAAATTTACATTTTTACAAAAAGAAAAATTACCTTGTTTGAGTTGGAGCTCTTTAAACTCATCTCTAAGCTGTTTGTTTTCCTTTTCATAACCATGAGAAAAGGCTTTTCTTTCCTCTGTTACAGTCATGGTTTGCATAATTTTCCACCTAAAAAGAAAATAATACATTTTCTTACTCTTTTTTTTCCCCCTAAAGCCCCAGTAGATAGTTGTACGTCATAGTTGCACATCCTTCTAGTTGCTGTATGTGTGACGCAGCCTCAGCATGGCCGGAGAAGCGGTGCGTCGGTGCGCGCCCGGGATCGAACCCGGGCCGCCAGTAGCAGAGCGCGCACACTTAACTGCTAAGCCACGGGGCCAGCCCCATTTTCTTACTCTTGGTCTATGGTGCATATTTTAACTCACATTACAAGTCTATTAAGTGAAAGAGACATTAAGAGATCACCATACTATCATGTCTATAATCTGAGAAATAAGCAGAAAACTCACCTTTCCTTACATGTGGGTCTCTCTCTCTAAACTTTATTCCAGCTGTCTTATGTTAACAGACATTGTTTTCCATAGATACGATGACACGTAACCACAAATTTCATGAGACAGCCACAATCTCTGATATTTTTTTCCATTAACATATCAGTTTTCAAATCAAATCTCTTTATCTATGGTTTAAGAAATATGATCATGATACCCATGAACAGAGAACAATCTAAACAATAATTATGTTTATACTCCTATGCCAAAACTGATGATTAAGATGTAGGAAATGTTAATAGGAGATTGTATTAAAATAAATTGTTGGGTATTCTTTAAAAACAGTTTCTGGTTAATATGACAGCCTCACTCTTATGTGGCTAATAAAAATAGATTGAGAACTAGCTATATGCTCCAGGCACTATGTTAAGGACATCAAGTATTTAATTTTCACCACAACCTTGCGACCATTATCCTCCCACTTTAAAGGTGAGGAAGCAGGCTGAGAGAGGCTAAGGGACTTGTCCTGTCACACAGGCACAAGGGAAGGAGCTACACTTCACACACAGCTGGGCCAGAACCAGAGACTGAGAGCTCTTACTTACTGTGCCAAATTGCTTAGAATTAGACTACCGAAATCACTGAAGTACATGAGGTGGTGAGCTGTTTTGAAGCCTATTGTACAACTCCTCAGAAAATGAACAAAAAGCTGAATGGTCTAGTAGAAGGAACACAGGATTGCAGTCCAACTTTATAACTTTCTGGTAAGTTTCAGCTTCCTCCTCTTTAAAATGGCAGGAACAATAATACCTATTTCTAATAATAATAGCTACAATTTATTGACTACTTATTAGGTATCAAGTATGTGTGTGAAATGTTTTATACACATTCCCTTGTGTAAACCTCACAAATCCCTTTGAAGAAACTATTATCATCCTCAAAGAAGTTACTTGCCCAAGGTTATAGACAGAGAGAGTGCTAAAGGCCATTTTTCACCTCCATCTGCCTAATGCTAAAATTCACGGTCTATTACACTGTACTGCTTTTGTTCTAAAGGAGCTTCATTCTTCTTTAAGAGTTTGGAAACCAGATTGCCTTCTAAGAGTTAAATTTAAAAATCAACAAGTTACCTATCTGAACTGAGATTTAGGAACACCGTAGAGTGATTCCCAAGCAACCTGAGAGAATTAACTAATTTAAAGAAAGAATACGTCAGAAAATAGGTTGATTAGTACTGGAAACATCAAAAAAGAGTGAAGAGAGTCAAAAGATGCCATTATCTATCCATCTAAGGGCTAAGTACCCTGGTCCTAGATATAATAGGTCCAGAAATAAGGGCAGGTATAGATAGCCCTATTATGGAAATCTGGCTATCTCAGCCAGTGCTCTAAAAATTTAGAACCCTTTGTTCACCAAGAAAACATCTGATTAAAATTTGGCTTCCCATGTAGTGTGCCTGTAGGGAGAGAATGCATCAGCCACAGGGTATATGTGACTGGTTCCTCTGGCATTTACACTTCTTATTGTCAATTAATAAGTCGATGTCTATTTTTCCACAAACTTCTCTGTGAGTTTGGTTAATACAAGCTCGCCTTTGAGAAGGAGATCAACCCACAGTACGCCGACTAATCAGGTTTCTAAGGTGACAAGCAAGAAAGTCAGCTAGGGGGCTAGTTATTGAGACGAGGAGGAATTTACCAAGATAACAGAAGCCACCGTGAGCAGACATATTTGGATATTCAACTAGTCATCTCTGGGCAACCGTGAGCAGACATATTTGGATATTCAACTAGTCATCTCTGGGCAACCTCCTGTACGTGTACTCTATTGGAAAACAATAGACTGTTGATGTGTTTCAAGAAAAAAAATGTACATGTGAGTGCTTTGCAAACTATACAGTGATAGTCAAATGTTGGTTTTTAATGTGTTAATTTAATGAAGGACAATGAACAAAACCACAGATATCTTAAAACTTGACGTTATTAGTCTTACTTCTTTCATTTCTTCCATGTGCTTCACTGAAATCTCTTCTAGATTTCTGGTAGCAGCCCTCAGCCTGTCTTCACTGTGCTAGAATAAGCACCAGATAAAATAGAGTTGTTCTTCTGTAGTAGCAAGGGGTTCAACCCCTTCTTTCTCAAGATGGTGAAGTACGTCTCCTAATTGAACTTTTCCCTTGATAGAAGAGATAAGCATATATGTATGGACACAAATACACACACAACTGAGTATACAAGATATCTAATATGTATATATGCCTAGAGTTAGACTCTCTAAAAAGTACAGTTTAGTTTTCCTATTAATTAATGGTTATGTTATCCAGTTATAATGGGCACTTACATAAAATAGCTTACAAAAAAAATTAAAGCTTTGAACAGCTGTACATCTTTTAAAATAAGAAATGACAGGATATATATAATGCAAATATATAGTAGAGTGTTTAAAAAAATACAAGCTTTTCTGTCTGCCTAGTTCTGAAGTTTGCAGTTTAATAATTTGAAAATCTCCCAAAGGCCCCTTGCAATGTCATAAACGCAAAAAAAGCCTTTGTTCCCTCTACTGAATATTTAGAAATAAAAGGACTCCTCTGGAAGCTAGAGAAGCCACTAATTCTAGACTATCAAGGAGTTATTTTGCTCACAGAATATGTCTTATAATTTTTGTTGACTTCTAAGTCATTCAGCTCTCTTCTAAACTTCTTGATCTAAGCCTGCTATCAATATTGTCTTTAATTTTTTTAAGTTGAAAGTAGTCATGCTACATAACAGCTTGCACTACCCAGTAGGTGAAAGATAAATGTCTGCTGATTGATGAAGTGGTGGCTGTGTTGCCAGAACCACTAACTATGAATGAGACTTGCTGTTATAATCAAACACAACTTTTAACCAAGTTAATCTGATCCAAATTGTAGGGATAAGCATAATTATTATTGTACCACATCTAGTCCAGATAATTATATTCAGTTTTGCTTTTTTAACAGCAAAACTATTTTTATTATTTTTCTCCTTTCTTGGTAAGTTTTCCAGAGTCTCATCATTTTCATATTAACAGTTTTTGTAGATGATATATACAATTTTAATTACCATCTGATACTCATACTGAAAGAAAAAGGGACCCAGGTCTGAACCTTTGCACCCCATGTGTCCTCTGTATGACTTATAGCTATAAATCTTCTCATGTTCCTCCCCGCCCCACTCCACCCTCTCCTCTCCACTCATATCCTCCTTCTCCCTACAAAATCTCTGAGCACTCTTCAGTTGTTTGTGGTTTTAGTCCTGGGTATCAGAGAACCCAAGACACCAGGAATACATAGCATCCTATGAGGCCTATTTGGCAATATGGAAAAAATTTGGCTTATGTTATAATGGTAAGAGAAAAAGCAGAATGCAAAAGCATTACATCAAAATGTTAAAACACAGTTTTGATAAACTGAAGAGATTGTAATTAGAAAATAAATGTCTGAATTATTACAACTCCTGTACTGTGGGTTGCTTGCCCCCAGAGAGTAGCATAATCCCCCCATGTTGTAGGGGTGGAGTGGGAGAGCCTTAGGTTGGAGGAAGTTGGAAGGAAAAGGGGATGGGAGATATTGAGGATACCTTTGGATCCTCGGCTTCTGGGAGATTTGGGGACATCGGAGGGTAAGCAGGGATATAGGAAGAGGGGGCTTGCTGGTTAGGAGGACAGTGTAGGCTGCAGGTCAATATCCAAGTGCATGACTCATCCAAGCCTCTAGACTTGACCACCCTCCCAAAGCCAGTGATCTTTAATCTCCACTCTGCTTAGCCATCCATCTCCATGGCTGCAACTGAGGCTTTGCCATAACCTGTACGACTGCTGAAACCCTGCAATCCTGAAATCCTAAACTCCAAATGTCCCACTCTGACCACTAACTTCTATACTTCCTGCTCTCCTTCTGTGTATGGTAAATATATGAAATCTAAAATTTACCATCTTAACCATTCTTAAGTGTAGAATTCAGTGACATTAACTACATTCACAATATTGCACAAGTACCACCACTATCCATTTTCAGAACTTTTTCATTATTCCAAACATGAACTCTGTATCCATTAAGCAACAGCTCCTAATTTCCCTCTTCCTCCAGCCACTGGTAACCTCTATTCTACTTTCTGTCTGTATAAAAATCTGCCTATTTTAGGTACCTCATATAGGTGGAATCATACAATATTTGTCCTTTTGTTTCTGGCTTATTTCACTTAGCATAATGTCTTCAAGTTTCATCTATTTTATAGCATGTATTAGAATTTCCTTCCTTTTTAAGTTGAATAATATTCCATTGCATGTATTTTGTTTATCCATTCATCTGTTGATGGACATTTAGGTTGCTTCTACCTTTTGACTACTATGAATAACACTGCCATGAATACTGGTGTACAAGTATCTGTTTGAATCCCTGCTTTCAATCGTTTTGGTTATATACCTAGGAATGGAATTGTTGGATATATAATTCTATGTTAACTTTTTGAGGAAGTACCATAAAAATGTAAATAATAGCCATACTAATGGGTATGAAGTGGCTGCTCTCTTAAACTATAGTTATTCTACAATGACAGTGAGTTGTCCAGTCCCTGTACCATTACATCCTCTCTCAAACTACCAGATACTCTTTGGTTTCACTTATTTCCCCCTCAAGC